CGATGGATTTGCAATTCTGTCAATTCGTAACTTGCTGGATTAACATTCGAGCATCTCCGTAGATCCCTCAAAAACATTTATATATAAATAAGGGACATATTTATAGATCATTAAAATCATAGTGATATTTGTGAGGTCACCTCTCTGTGTAATAAATGAAGAGATATTTATATTCTTGAATAAATTATATCATTTTATAACTTGTAAATAAGATCATATTGAGCATCATTTACTTAAAATCATTTTACAAAGCAGGGTAGCCATATATTATGTTCAAATATTAAATTGTAATTGTCCTACAGGGCTGTAACTTCAAATTTTGCCAGCCAGACAATTTTAGATATATTTTGTTCAAACCAGACTACCAAGCTGTTTCATCCAAATAATATGATAGTTTTTAGCATTTACCCATTTTTCAAAAATAGGTTTAAGCGTTTTTACACGTAATGGTTAAATTCTTTTTGAGATCCTATTTTAATGGCATGTATTAAATTTAACTGTATGTATGTATTGTGCTCTAAGGTTAAATTCTTTGAAATTCAAATTTGATGCCATGTATTTTTTTTTTTGTATACCGGTATGCAATATTTTTATTCAGATTTGTATCAGAATAGGGATTAAGGAACTGGCATAGCCTATATTAAACCCCACTCCCTATTAAACCACTCTCAGGCATGTAAATTGACTGATAGGTAAGTTCTCCTAACCGTCAAATTCACTGCCAGTCAGTCAAGTGAAACAAAAGCCCTGGTTTAGTAATTGTAAAATAAAATATAGATAAAATGTACATAGATATTTCAGGCGGTACCCAAATTTCTTGATTTGTGCCTAGGTTTAGTTGTTTTAGTTTTAATTAGAAAACTTTGTGCCATGTCGATATATTTATTTGTGATTCTATATGAAAATGAAAATGTTGATATTTTGTAAATATTTATGATTTCATGCTGTTTTGATTTTATTAACATGAACATTTTGATGTTTTGTAAATATTTATTTGTTTGTAATGCTGGTTAGTGCAGGATGATCTCACCACACACAACTATCATTGCCTTCTTTGATTGGCATTTAGTAATTGAACATATTAACATATTTGCTTGATAAAGATGAGAGTATACTTGTGGAAACGTGGCTTAGTATTAAACTCAGTAATTGTGTATCCATAAAATTGTGTTAACCATCCTGTCATTTCATCTAGTCAGCTTTTAATACTTTGAATAAATGGCTTGTATATAATGTGTGTATTGGATAATGTTCAATAATAATCACTCCTTCTTCATTTTTATGGCGGGTTTGGGTGGCCGTATGGTTAACGTGTGCTCATTGCAATGTCAAATGAGTCAAGTGGCTTGGATTTGAATTTCCATTTGTATGTAGAATTGTCTGTCACACTGCTAATAACCCCTATGTGCAAACAAATTAGTAAAAAAAAATTGAACCATGTTAGTCCTGAAATGACCTAGCTTTTGTCGAGTCGAAGTTCAACCCGATTTCTCTCTCTCTTCATTTTCTATTGGGGAGGCGCAGTGGTTCAGTGAGTAAGACACTGGCTCACTAACCATGGGGTCTTGGGTCCGCTCCCGGTGTTGGCTGTGAAGTTAAATAATAATCATTGCGTTTTTTCTTTTACAAAAATTATTTTATATCTGAAAGTCTCTGTGTAATAGGCAGGGTATGCTAACTTTCTAGAACACCTTATACCACTTGATATTGTGGAGCAATATGTATTGATGGGTTTCATGGGTGAGGTAGGGTATTCTGTCCACTTGGCACCATCTAGCTATAGGTATTATTCAGGGTAGTGATGAGTGATATGAACACTTGATACCATCTAGCTATATAGGTAGTGACAGGTATCATGACAATGTGTGAGTCTGAGTATATTTTTCCATACAATCCAAATGACTAGGCATCCTGATATTACTTCTGTATGTCCAAAATGATCATTTTGTATTTAAATGCATGTATATTAACTCAAAATGATCATTTTGTGCTTAAATGCATGGATAGTAACTCATTATTGTGAAACATTATGTAATATAGGCTACATTCATCATATATGTCTGTCCAGTTGATTCTGAACAGCAGAATGATAAACCCCATACAGCTTCATTAGCCGAGTACTTAGATGGGGAAAAATCGGAAATTGAATCTCCAGAAGGGAAAAAAACATTTGTAAGGGGAGATAATTCAGAGGCTTTTTTGTAAACTTTTTCAAAAATAAGTGAATTATCAAGTCCTTTATTACAAAGAATAAATTAATTTTACAATACACTATATATATTTATATATTTAATTCTTATGCACATAATTTGTTATTGAATAAGGAGAAATTTGGTTTTAAAATAATGTGTTGGGGGAGATAACTCTTGTTTTCTTCTCTTCTTTTTGATAGCTTGTAAGGCCAAATCAGTTTTTCTTTTTGTTCTTCAGGGTCTTTGTAAATAAATAGCCACTTAAATCATGAGAAAGATCTTTTGTTTAATATTTCCAAACTTAAAATTTGGAACTAATAGCTTTTGAACAGCACAACCAAGTACTTTTGTTTTTAAATAAAGGTTGTGTGTGACAAGGTGTAGGGTCACCTGGTCAACCTCGTAGGTTTTTTCCAGGTTCTCCGGTTTCCTCCCACGGCTAAAGACCCCTATGCGGAAGCGAATTATTGAAATAAAATTAAACCATATGTTAGTCCCAAAATGACCTAATTTGTGTCCAGTGGACATTAAACCCCATTTCTCTCCTCCCTCTCTCTCTCTTTTAAATAAATCTTTTTGCGGAAGAAAGATGAATCAATTGGTGGGGCCTAACTGAAATCAGTCATTCATGACCACTTGATGAAGCTTGGAGTAGAACTTGCTTAATCCCTTTTTTTCATAAAAACATCAAAATTCTATATTTATTTTTCTGGATATTCCTTTTTTTTTTAATAATTCAAAGATCACAAGTTTTTTTTCTGCTACTAATAAAACCTAAAATTTAAAAATTATTTTGTATTTTCATCAACTCCTTTGTATTAATATTTCTGATGCTTGTAAAAAAAAAAAATACTGAAGACAAATTTCTATTGTAATAAATAAATTTGAAATATGTTTTTGGGTTTTTATGGGGTTTGGAAGGCCGAGAGATCTAACATGTGTGTTTTAGATAACTAAGTCTGTGATTGAATCAATTGGCATGGTTCGTTGGTTCCTAGAGTTTTATGTCCAATTTCACCAAGGGTATTATCGTAGACCGTGTTTCTCAAGAAACTTGCCAGAGGAAGTCACAAAATAGGCTTGATCCAGCTTTTTTGGGTAAGACACAATGCCTTTGCAGGGAAGCGCCCAAGGTGAATTTCATCCAAAGGAGAAACTTTGGGCGTAAGAAAAGAAAGAATAGCAAGCGTAAGAAGTCTGGTCTGCTTTGCAATAAATGCTACGATCTTAGGTAAATTTAGGTTTGACTGTAAATCGGGCATGGTTTTGATTTCAGGCTTTATGTGACAAGGAGTAAGGACATCTGTCTAACTTCAAGGGTTTTCCCCAGGTCCTTTGATTTCTCCCTACTAGTCAAGATCCCTACACACAAGCGAATTAGTTAAAATAAATAAATAACATATCAGTCCTGGTATGACCTAGTCAGTGTTGAGTGCATATTAAAAACCATGCTTTATTTATGAAGTTAAATATCAAAGAATCAAATTGGAACATGTTAGTCGGGAAATGACATAGTTTGTGTTGAGGGGACGTTAAACTTCATTTCTCTCTCCATTAAACAAACTCCATATCAACAAGCCAACAGTTAGAATGATGTCCCCCATCGAAATCCCTAATATAAACAGACGACAAATATTAATTAATTGCACATTTATCTTTTTTAAAAGTATTGTGCGTAATCAAACTGATTATCTGTGCTTAATCTAAGCATAAAATGTTAAGATCAAACTCAGTGAAACTATACACTGCTTGTGAATCAAATCATCTTCGCACTCCATCAAGGCATTCACCTAATAAACACCTACACCAAGTTTGAACATTCTAGCTGAATTAAAAGCAAAGTTATTGAGTTCCAAGAGTGTGATGGACAAGCAGACGGACAAACCCGTTTGTATAGTCCCCTGCTTTCTTCGAAATGAAATGAGATGAAATGGGGTTTAACGTCCTACTGTTTTGCTCCGAACTGGGATAATAAAGAGGGGCATATGCCATACAGTGTCCTATGAGGGAAATTTTGCCCGGACAGCGGTACTACGGCCTACTCTTATATCAAATTCCAACTGTCACAGGATCTTTTACATGCATGCCAATGTGTACACGGGACCTCAGTTTTCCGTCCCATCCGAATGACTAGACAGCTGTCCGTCTCAAGCCCTCCGTCCTGCATCACCAACAAGGGGAAACCACGTCAGAGGATCTGGATGAACTTTCTCGGCCAATGCAGGGATTGAACACCCAACCTCCAGGCTAGCAGGCCAGCGTCTTACCCACTTAGCCACCTTGACCCCTGCTTTCTTCAAAAGGCGTGAGACAATAAAGTAAAGAGCTATTTGTAGCATTTATAGAATTTTATTATTCCCATCACATTCTTTCACCATGTATCAATAATGATAATTAGAACAAATAATGTGTATTAAACAATATATCACATATTCCCTCATTCACATCCATACAGTCTAATATTAGCAAGTTTATTGTACATTATTTATCCCACGCTGATTGAAGTTATAAACTGATCAAGATACCTTTATAAAATATTGTACCAACCTCAACCTAATTCAATATTCTAACCAAAATTGAGTCAAATGGTGTGGTTTTGATTCCCCGGTTGTACGTGACAATGAGTAGGGTCGCCTGTCCAACCTCGTGGCTTTTCTCCGGGTCCTCCGGTGTCCTCCCACTGCTAAAGACACCTACGTGCAAACGAATTATTGAAATAAAATTGAACCACATGTTAGTCCCAAATTACCTACTTTGCGTTAAGTGGAAATCTCTTGGATTTCATAATTTTTGTGTTTCCATGGAAACAGAGTACTAGTTTTATAACTGACGATTTACTGATTCCACAAACAAGTGTATTGGGCAACCAAATTAATGTGGTACGTTGAGAAATCCATACAAAAACTGTGGAAGTTGTCACAATGCATTGATACTGTCCATAGTCTCTTGAAAACGGAAGCTTAATCAAAGTCTCTATCTTCTATTTTTTGGAAGCTCCTCAGCCTGAAAACCCAAAAACTGGCTAAGAGTTTGAATACATGTAGATTTTATCACCCAGTCCCATCAGTAGTCCAGAATTACCAGGTTTATTTGCCCATCTTGTTGAGAATTGTAGAGCAGGTATGGTATCAAGTGAAACAGAGCAGGGAGGAGGAAGATTCAGCAACATTTTTCCAGTTTTCACGCACCAAATTTTAGTGTAGCCATCTTGACCGGCTGAAAATAAACAAACAAATACAATTCACAGATAAAAAACAAACCATGTTTGAGACTAGAACTACTCATGGGGTGAGGTGTATAACTAGTTTAATGTGCGCTTGTTAGATCATAAAGGTTTGTAAATTCCCAGCTGGTACGTAATTTCATGGGTTTTCTCTGGGTCCTCCGCTTTCCTCCCTCTGCTAAAGACCCATACATGCAAGCGCTTTATTGAAATAAAATAATAAAATTGAACAATATGTTAGTCCTGCAATGACTTCTCTCTAACTTGGCAAAATTCCTCCTTTCACATTGCACACATAATCATAGAAATTACAAATTGTTGGTAATTCAGCCACATGAATAAATAAAATGAAACCGTTTAATGCATTCTGCACCCACAGACTATCTACATCATACTTCTCAAGTTCTCAAGTGGAGCTAATTGGAGCTAAGTTTAGTATTGGCTTAACGTAGTAAAGATATATTACCTCCATAAATAATCGTATTAGACTCATCAATATGAAATGGTATTCTTTTATACTCATTGTATAAACCCCTATATTCCATAACAACAGCATTTTTCCTTGTATCCCATACTCTTAACTATAATAAACGGTAAAATATAACATGTTTTATCTTGTATACAAGCTTAACTATACTAAACAGTAAAATATAACATGTATTATCTCGTATACAACACACATAACTATAATACACAGTAAAATATAACATGTATTATCTCATATACAACATGCATAACTATAATACACAGTAAAATATAACATGTATTATCTCGTATACAACACGCATAACTATAATACACAGTAAAATATAACATGTATTATCTCGTATACAACACGCATAACTATAATACACAGTAAAATATAACATGTATAATCTCATATACAACACGCATAACTATAATACACAGTAAAATATAACATGTATTATCTCGTATACAACACGCATAACTATAATACACAGTAAAATATAACATGTATTATCTCGTATACAACACACATAACTATAATACACAGTAAAATATAACATGTATTATCTTGTATACAACATGCATAACTATAATACACAGTAAAATATAACATGTATTATCTCGTATACAACACACATAACTATAATACACAGTAAAATATAACATGTATTATCTTGTATACCACACTTGTAACCATAATAAACAGTAAAATATAACATTATCTTGTATACCACACTTGTACAATGTAACTACAGTAAAACATAACATTAAAGAACAGTTAAGAGTTGGAATTTGATAAAGAATACATAATACATGTAAATGGATATACCTTTTTATCCTTGCACAGATGATGATTGAAAAAAATCAATCATATATTCGTCTCAAAATGGCATGTGTTTACAAGATTTTAAACTCCATTCTGGCTCCAAGTTCATAAAGTATTCTCAGACTTAAGTTAAGAATTTACTCAAAACTGTTCGCCTTATTTTAACTAAAATATAGCCATTTATAAAACTTTGGTTGTTTTTATGTATCAAATACATCAATAAGAAACTATGTGCAAAGTTTTGTGTTTCTGGATCAGAGATATTTCTCATAATCAGTGATTGAAAATTGAGTAAATTCTTAACTTAAGTCTGAGAATGCTTTGTGAAACCCGGACCTGTTTTTACCTGTCCAGTAAAATCACTAGCGTAGATAGAATTCTCATCATACGAGAGTAAAAGATGAGATATGCTAGATTTATGCGACATACAGCGGATTGGTCGAGTTGATGAACTTCGTAGGTCATGTGACAGGATCTGACCTTTTCTAGTACCATTATACAGTAAATTCTGCAAAAAGTGCAATTACATAATATACAAAATATTTTATCAGGTGCCCATATGTATTTGTAGTATTATGTAGTACTACTGACTTTTTTGTTGTGTTCTCTCCATGACTGAAATTACAACTACAGGTTAAAGATACATTATGGGAGATTTTAATAGAGAGTTGGCCATTCTTGCTATAACAGTTCAAAAATAGATGATAAAAGAAGAATATATTGAAAATGTCAGTCAAATTACTTTATTCTGACCAAAGTTATCACCATTGTAATTTTTGACTAGAAATAGGAGTCAAATCCCTCTTCACCGTCTACGAGAATGCAGGCCGTTTGATTGACAAGCGTTAACTCCACCTACATAATCTTGATTATCAAGTAACGTTTTCAATTCGTATCACATTTATTTTTACTACAAATTAAAAATAGGACTTTTATTATATAGATAAGAAGCGAAAGTTTTAAAGGAATGGACCAAATCAATGAGGCATAATTATAGCCGACTTCTTCAATCTTGTTAGCCTGCGTGTACTCCCGAAGCAGACAAATTGAAATAGGAAACATTGATCCAATGGGGCTGCATGGGCTGCAATTCAACTGGGGTGATGTTAGCTGCGATGTTTATCAATTTCCATAATTTTTCAATATAATACCGACATCCAAACTCTCATTTTAACTACAAATAAACATAATATCAAGGCCGTACATGTATATATCGAACTTTCAATCAAATTGACCGACACTCTATCATTCAGCCTCAATCAAAAATTTCCCGGAGTATGACCTCAACGTAACGGTTAATCTCAGCTTACGACGGCATTTAAAAATTTAATCAATCAATGAAATCCTGTTTAAATCCAAGCCATCCGTGGGTCTACAGAGTTGATTTTGTGCTTGTTGAGTAAATAAAGATCTAGTTTATAATTTCTATGACATCTGAAGCCTAAATAAAGACTTGCAATAATCAGATTTAGCTCTTGCATAATGTATGTTTAAGTCTTTAAAACAGCTTTATTTTTTAAGTAGGTTGGCAAAAATCTTCCTTGTTCTTAATAAAGTATATATAGCTGCTCATTTTTCACATTTTCACAATATTATAGTTTTGGACTGATATTACTATCCGAGATTCATTTTTCACAATATTGTAGTTTGCAAAGGATGCGTAGGGGTCTTTAGCAGCGGGAGGTAACGACTAACGAAAGGACCCAGAGAAAACACACAAGGTTGGACAGGCAACCCTACTCCTTGACACGTACATGTACAACCGGGGAATAAAAATCATGCTAGTTGACTCATGACAGACCTAATGATACAACATGCACTTTACCCCCCCCCCCCCCCCGAGATTTTAGGGATATTCTAATATGCTAGAAACATTTAACATCTTTTGCCAATAACACAAACAAGCCAGCATCACCTATAAGTGTAAGGTAAATATCTTTTGATTGGCCTCTCTCACCCTAATCTGATTGAATCTACCATTCATATTTTAAATTTTCTATCTCAATTAAATATTAAATCATCAATAGCATACATTAAGCTGTGGAAAAAAGTAGATAATGAGAAGAAAATGTACAATCTGGTTGGGCGACTTTCACTACCAAAAGGTCTGAGGCGTGTTTTTGATCCCAAGCTTTTACGTTACAAGAAAGGTATCTTGCTCAACCTCGTGGGTTTTCTACAGGTCCTCCGGTTTTCTCCCACTGCTAAAGACCACTATGCGAAAGCGAATTACCAAACTCAAATTGAATCATTAGATAGACCTGAAATGATCTACATTGTAGTTTCCGTTGAAAGAACTTATGCTGTATTCGTTACTCCTTGGTTTTATGGAAAATATGACTAACGAATTGGTAAATAGCGTTCGTAACTACAAAAACTGGGTCGGAAGTCGTGATTTTTACTGACGTAACATGATGGCAGCCAAAGTTACAAAGTTGAACGTTTTGAACGGTAATTATACTATTTTTGTAGTTATATGTTTGTTGTGGATTCGCATATCTATCTGAATATGTGATTTATAGAATTTTACATATCGGGATACATTTTGTACTAACTTGTTATTGTACCGTACGGCAGTTCAGGTTTTAGGACGGTACGCAGTCTATATCAATAAAAATGTTCCAGTAACTGTGATTTAACGCCCACTCGGCACACACTAGGTCTTTTCGGGACTAACGTCATATGTTTCTTTGAATTTAAAATGTCTACATACTGTAACAATTCATTAGGCATGTGCTAAGCTAATTGACCATGCCGCTCATCGACAATAGACTTTATCTAATTTTTCACGGCTAAATGTATGATGAATTGGTATATGTAGATATTTCCTAGCTTGAATTCAATTGGATTTAAAAGAAGTCCATCAAAAGATTGACCAATACTTAAGGGTTACACTGGCCTGTTTATATCGTTTTCCGAATGATGATAAATTTTCAATTCATCATATCTTTGTAAATACTGAACCGAACTGAAACGTCTTTGGACTGATATTCCTTCAATTTCACAAATGGTGATTAGGGGTTTTAATAATCCTTGAAGGGATAATGACAGCCATGTTAATTTTCCCACTTGTGCACCCAAACACGACAAGTATGGTATTTACTATTTCCTAGTGGGAAACACCATATTTCCAAGCGGTAACGAATACAGCATTAAACCCCATTTCTCCCACACTTTCCATCTTTAAAACCATATACCCTACTTACATTAGAAGAAAATGTCTGAGCCAGTGGATCACTATTTAAAGTATTTAACTCCCAGAGTCTTCTAGTAGCTACATCAATCAACAGACAAGTCTTCTCAGCACCAACAGAAAACTTCTCAGTCTGTTTATTCCAAGCACACGTCCACGTCGCTTGAGACCCAACACGGAAATCAAACAACGCGATATCATCACTGACAGCCACATCTAGATCACGTATATACACTAAAGCCTGTCCTGTGTGATGACAATTCGTCGTATACAAAATGTTTTTTCGTCCAGGATATTTTTGAAATGGCGCCCAGCAGACGTTGGTAATTTTGTGCCAGGAATGTATCACATGTCTTTTCCCGAGTTCCACAGACAACGAATGTTTATTATTCGTCCGCGGTTTTTCTTCGACTTCAACCAAATGTAATTGTTGTACGATTGTGTCCTTCACCGTCCATAAACACAAAAGTTTATCGCTGTCAGGACTCGAGATCATCTTCAACATGTGCTCCAAACATTCGTGGCCATGGACAGGATTGTGAAAAACACGAATAGAATCCGTCAAAGATAAATTGGTTGCATGATTCTTGAGAAATGTTGTCTTGAATTTCTGATGGCTGATGTCACCTTGTCGCGATTTAAACAACAAATCGATTAAACCATAGATGACCTCGTCACTTTGCTTTATGTTTTTCTCTTTCAGATTTTTAATATCTTTCAGCCTTTTCTGCTCAGCTTCTGCCTTGGCAATAGATTCTTTTGTAATAGCCATCTGAATGTTACTATTTTCTAGAATCTTATAGTAGCGTTTCTTAATACTGTCATAATAAAAACCTGGAATATGTTTGCAGTGTTAAGGAAATAAAATACAACAAAAACAATATTTATATTTATAGGAATGCGATTTACTGGTGGACAGAGAAATGGAGTTTAACGTGCACACTAGACACAAACAAGGACATTTTGGGAGTAAGACATGGTTCAATTTTATTTCAATAATTCGCTTGTGTGTATGGGTCTTTAGCAGTGGGAGGAAACTGGAGGACCCTGAGAAAACCCATGAAATTGGACTCCTTGTCATATACAAGCAGGGAATCAAAACCCTCCCACTTGACTCAATGAAAGACCTCATGATTTTACGTGCCTGCGTTAAACCACTAGACCACACAGAAGACAAGTTAAATACGTGCTAATTATAAATGGCTAGGGTTAACGTCAGGGTTAAAAAAAAACATGTGGTTAAACTATTCCAAAATGTACATAGCAGATCTGTTTATAATATATTTCATATTCTTTGCATGAGGCTAGGGGTGATATAGGCTATGCCTGATCACTTTTCATCCAATTGAAATAAAATCTTTTTTACTGAAACTGAAAAAAAAAACCCAACCAAACTGACTGACTTAGGGGTACAGTGAAATCCTGAGTTGCTGGACTGATATAAATTGATTTTAATGGAGGAGCAGTCTTGATATTGGCTTGGAATCCAAGACTACAGATCTCATACATGTACCTTGAGGCAGTGAAGGGATTTCAAAATTTTTCTTGTCGGACATTTTTCCCGAAAATAAAGGGAAATAACTCTTATCTTTATTGAAGCAGGCCGTTTTAGACCACACACAAAAATTACGTGTCAACAAAATATTCAAATTCGTACATAATAAAAAATATGTGCACCTCATTATTTTTCATATTTAATTCTCGTACCCTATTCAAATTTATGTCAGTTGTAATATTTGAGGTATTCAAAAATGTGCCCAAATATTGCAGTGATGATCAGGAGCTATGATCAGGAGCTAATGTATGATTTTTATATAAATATTGGTATGGTGGGTTAATGTACATGATTTTTATATAAATATTGATGTGATGGATTAATGTATGATTTTTACAGCTGATAATTGACAAAAGGATATCACATTGATCTGATGATGAATCTGTATTTGATGTTGATGCTGTTGTTGGGATCTCAACATCAGTCTGTGATCTCCAGTTCTTTCCCTTTCTTCTTCTTCTACCCCTTTTGTGTGACTGATTTGATTCTTGTTCCTGATATTCATGGCTTTCAGATTTTTTCCTTCCATAGTTCGACCTTTTATTTTGTTTGGATTGATTTGTATCTTTCTTGTCATCACTGGAACCACAGCCTGATCGTACCCTAGATGCGCTTGTGTCACGGTCTGACCTTCCACCTGATGTGCTGGCATAACGACCTGACTTTCTACCTGATGTGCTGTTGTCTCGACCTGATCTCCTACCCGATGTGCTGTGGTCATGATTTGACCTTCCACCTGATGTGCTGCTGTCATGGTTTGACCTCCCACCTGATGTGCTGGGGTCCCAACCTGACCTTCCACCTGATGTGCTAGTCTCATGGTTTGACTGTCCACCTGATGTGCTGGTGTTTCGGCATGACCTTACCTCAGTTGTGCTGGAATCCTCATTGATCTTGGATGTGGTTGGTTCTGAATCTAAATCATTTGATGATCTATTTGGGGATTTGTTATTTTTTTTCGTTTCTTTTTTGCCTCTAGGTTTCTTTCTGCCCATGTCTATGTGATAAATACAAATAAATAATATAAATTAACACCTTGATGAATGGCGATCACATCATCATAAACAATGATATTATGTAACTTGAAATAATAAAGAAAAGAACGGAATTATTGTTCAGTCTTTGCCTTGCACTATACAGTACATGTACTATCCATGTGGGCCTATTAGATTGTGAGCAAATTTTGGATGGAATAGGTACTGGTTTAATGTCCCGAAGTGTCAAAGTGACATGGGAGCCAAGGTGACATAGGGAGTTATGCATTGGCTCATCAGGAGATCAGTTGTTCAGGACGGATGGTCTGGCAAGGAACAGTCTCTAGTCGGTCAGATGGGATCAAATATCAAGGTCCTGTTGGTTTGGGCAAAATTTACTCTCCTGGTACTGCACTTAAACCCCATTTCATTTCCTTTTATTTAACTGGGTAAGACGCTGGCTCGCTGGCCGAGAAAGTTCATCAGGATTTTACAGCATGGTTTCCCCTTATCAGTGGTGCAGGAAGGAAGGCCTGAGTGACAAGGACAGCTGTCTAGTTGTTTGGATGGGACGAAAAACCGAGGTTCCGTGTACACATTGGCATGCACGTAAAAGATCCCTTGGCAGTTGGAATTGGATATAAGAGTAGGCCATAGCTTGTGATGCTGCCTAGGCAAAATTTCCCTCATTGCACACTGTATGGCGTATGCCAATATAGATTAACCCAGAATGAACAGAACAGTAGGACGTTAAAACCTAATTTCATTCATTTTTCCTTTTATTCAATCAATACCGTAAACGGCAAAAATAAGTAAAATTTGTCGAATTTTTGACGAAAATTAGAAATTGCCAATTTAGCATCGATTTATCACTATCAGAATTGTTTGTGCCAGATATCTATCACAAAAGACATCTTTTTGTTTTTAGTGTCCTTAAAATTGTAAAATTCATGTATCTAAATCAAATGAAAAAAAAAAGGCAAAGTATCAAACCTGTACTAGGAAAAAAAAAGTGGAAGTAGAAAAATATATTAGAGTTATCTCTCCTTCACCATGTAAAAAATGTCATGACCTGATTACAAACGAAACAAATACGTACAATATTACATCATATATTTTTACGGACATGTGCATCTCTGAGAAATTGAATTTGTGTAAACAATAAATATTTTGAATTCGTAATTTTGGAAATCTGGTTCATATTTAAAATAATTTTGTAAAATATATTCGCTTCTTTTTATAAATAGTAATACAGTTATAATTTTATTCAACCTAGTCAACAACATGGCGAAAGTACACGTGCAAAAAGAAGAAAATTTATCAGACTTGGATTCGGGTTCTGAAGCCGATGTTGAGAGTGAAGACGTTTCTGATGGTAATATGTCTACTCAGAGTAGTGCTATAATGCCGACCAGCTTGTACTCTCCATAAAAAATAGCGTGGCACTGGATGTGGGATAACCATTCTGAATCAGATTCCATGCAGTGCGAAGTTGTCACATGTGTTTAGTGTACTAGATCATCTATGTTATTACTATTATTTATTTTTAGCAAGATATTTTGTTGGCTTGATATAATTTATCTAAATATGAATAGGTCTCATTATTGGTGTCTACTGTCTGATTCATCGTAAATTTTAAACGGATTTCTTCGATTATGAACAAACTACTTAACGTTGGTTATTATAAACTTACCTGTGTGTTTGTAATGAACTCCCGTTCGATAAAATCCATTGCACAACTAATTATCACAACGATGAAAACAAGTTCTCTCTTGAAAAATTGAAATATCACAAACTTTTCCCAGAGAAAAATACCAATATGGAAGATGGTTACGTCACTCTGCGGAAGATATCATTTCGTATTAGGGGTGACAGCATAGGAAATTCAAGTACAATTACGACAAGAATCCATGACCACTCGGACCAAAGATCACTCGGTTCAAGACCAGTCGGACCAAGTGATAGACCACTCAGCCCAAACAAATAGACTACTCGGACCATACAGAAAGACTATTCGGACCCAACAGAAAGACGACTCGGACCAATAATAAAATGTTGTTTTAATAAATTGATAATTGCGTTTGTTTTAATATAATTACTCGAACCAATAATAAAGTGTTATTTTAATAAATTGATAATTGTGTTTATTTTAATATGACTACTCGAACCAATAATAAAGTGTTATTTGAATAAATTGATAATTGTGTGTGTTTTAATATGACTACTCGAACTAATAATAACGTGTTGTTTGAATAAATTGATAATTGTATTCCAAATCGCAAAATATCGAGAACCACACTTGTAGTCACGTTTAAAAAGGGGCATATAAACGTCCGGTCTTCGTATTATTATGTGCTGTTTATATTAACGCATCAAGGGCGGATAACTTGGTTAGTGGGGTAGAACGGAATGAAACCACTGGGGATACCGCGAATGTGGAAAAAGTAAAATTAGGCTATCAGACAAGAACAGTATACCCGTATATGTAGAAACTGTCAAAAGTCTGGACATACCGAGTCTCATTGCAAGAGTAAAGAAAAATTAGATTGATATTTTTTTTTTGGCACCATTATTAATTAATTTTAAAACTAATCGTTGATTTATTTACGTACACAAAATTGAACCAAACAACTCTAAATATAAGAATTCCGTATAAGAATTATTTGCTTCTTTGTATTGTGATTTAATAATAAATAAATAGCATATTGTCTAGCCTTATAATATAATTTAATTGGTCCGACTGGTCTTGTTTTGGTCCGACTGGTCTTAGTCCGAGTAGTCTTTGGTCCGAGTGGTCTGGATACCTACGACAATTGGCATTGAGTTTGAGCGTTCGCACACATAACTACCCGCATTCCTGTATTTAGTTACCGTCTTTTACATTCTAGTAAAATCTCTGCAAATTTTATAGCTTTACTTTTTGAAATATTTTGTTCTAATTATTTGATTAGCGACTCGGATGGGATTATTTACTTTTGAACACGCATGCCGCACAAACACAACTATACATTCGTTTTACGGGCTTTATCACACTTCGGTCAAAACTGTCGAATCGAGAATTAATGTTCCGCTTCTTACGGGGTCATACGGGCTTAGTAGCATTATATACCCACCCGGGCACCCAATACGGCAATAGACACGCTGAGGGCTGCCGCAACACGCTTAAAGATGTTACTGAAGCGGTTATTATTCGATCGAAAGAATGCGTATAAAATTAAAAATACACTCAGAGAATTCGGAGGTAAGCTTCATGATCCTTGTTAAATTATTTATAACATAAAGAAGATAGGATATTTATAGTTTATTCATGACTTTATTTTTACGAGTATCCGTGCAATCAGTGATATTTTAATTGTGAAGAAAATTTGATAGACTGGCGATCAATGGTTTCCATATAAATCTCCTATGTAATTGCCTTCAATTGATATTTTTCGTCACCCAAACCCATATACGATCAAAATGATCGCGCTGTCAAACTATCTTTCAATGTTAACCAACCCCAACAACAGGTATATTGGATTCGACCAATACGTCACGAAGACATTGTTGACATCGACTCTGTCGATATTACAAGTAAATTTTCAAATTTTTCAAGAGAGAAATTGTTCTCATCGTTGTGATAATTAGTTGTGCAATGGATTTTATCGAACGGGAGTTCATTACAAACACACAGGTAAGTTTATAATAACCAAAGTTAAGTAGTTTGTTCATAATCGAAGAAATCCGTTTAAAATTTACGATGAATCAGACAGTAAATAAATGGTCTGTATTTCAAATGAGTTTAGTGAGCCAATGAGATCTCATCATTATAGAAATGATTAGGTCTTAACATGTAGATCCGTACCCTATGCCATGGTTAATTTAATTAACAGAAAGCATGTGTCAAAATTTACCCAGACATCATGTAGATTCTGCGGAGATAGCTTTGACAGGGAAGATGTTTGGACTAGCTTTTCCACTCATGAGTCATATATGATATATTCAGTTCTCTTTGAATATTACGCGGGTATAGGGATTCCGGTGGCCGAATGTTTTTATGCATGCAATTTAGTTTGTAAGGTCTGTTTGTAAGGAGTAGGTTGCCTGTCCAAACTTATAGGTAATTGCTTCTGGATCCTCTGTTTTTCTTCCACTGCTAAAGACTTCTATGCATATGCAAATTATTGAAATAAAATATAAACATGTTAGTCCTGAAATTACCTAGTTGGTGACGTTAAACCCTATTTCTTTAACTCTCTCTTTCAATATAGCTTCAGACCAAGAATTAAGTGATGATGGTAACAAAAAATCAGGAATGGCTGATGCCATGGCAAGGATTCTGGGTAAGCAGGTGCCGAGTAAGAAGAACGTCATCCTTGCTAAAGGAATGACAGATAAACAGATAGAGAGAAAGCGTAAACTAAAAGAAGGCGGTGAAAAAGATGAAGTTGACAAAAAAAAAATCTACATTGATCAAGTTACTCGACAAGCAAAGGTAAGTGTAAGGCACTTGTCACAGACAATGTTCGTGGTCGTCCCTTGGATTGATGTCATGAGTTAATACGTCAATCAATTAACAATTAAGGGCAGTAATCTGGGTGGAATTTAAGAAAGCGCTTAAACAGTGGTTAGATTGTATAATTATTTCAATGATATCTATGTAAAGTGTCAATTTGTTCGGATGGGATGAAAATTGAGGACCCATGTACATGTTAGCTCAATGAGTAATGGAGGTCCTGTGTTTGTAAAAGAACCTCTGACAGACTTCGATATAAGAGTAGGTAGTAGCACTGCTATCAGGGCAATATTTCTCTCATAGCACACTGTATGGCAGTCCACATTATCCCGGTCGGTGCAGAAAAAGCAAGACGTTAAACCACGTTTCATTTGCTTATATTTGTGGTCTGTAGAATGATTTTTGTATTTGTAGAAAAAAGAATGGGAAAATAGAGGAAGAATGAAACCACAACCACTAGAGAGAACAACAGAAAAGGTTTTACAAAGAATAGCAACCAGGTTAGTCAAATGTAGGATTTAAATTAAAAAGTGTGTGAATACTCCTTTTTATAATTAATGGTGGCTCGGTGAATATGGTGCTAGCTCACTAATCAGGTCTGTTGTTCGATCCTGGCCGGGATATATTTTTGGGTATTTTCTAGTTCAGTTTCCCCCATGTCAGAGGTGCAGGACAGAAAAGGTGTCTGGTTATTCAGACAGGATAAATACTGAGGTCCCATGTATAGTTGCCATCACATTAACAATCAAAGTAAGGCAAGGGCATAGTGCTGCTTGCCAGGACACTGGATGGCGCAAACCCATCTTCATTGGCCAGGCATTAAACCCCATTTCATTTCATATCCCTAGAAGGAATACATTTTTAAAAAGTTGAATACGAATCAGCTTGTCTAAAAAGAAACTTTGACAGCTGGAATTCGGCAACCTGTAGGTGGAAATGCTACTTTCTGGCCAAATTTCCCCTTATAACACACTGCATAGCGTATGGCCGACTTTAGAAGCCTGGCTTGTGCAGGAAAGTAGAACATTAAATTTCATAGCAAACTTGGGTTTATTTTATTTAACAGGGGTATAGTTCAACTATTTAACGCTGTCAGAAAACAACAGAAATTATTGGATGATCAGTTGGTAGAGGCGGGATCATCAGAAAGACGCAAAGATAAGGTTGTGGAATCGATGACGAAAGGAAAGTTTTTAGATATTTTAAAAGGAACAGCCAGTAAATCAGAAGACAGTAAAAACACAAAAAACATAAATAAGCAGGTAAATTATTAATGGCAGGTGATTATCATTGCTGATCAACTGATTGGGGATGCTAGATTGTCAGTCTGGAACGTTCTGTCAGCACTGACAACGAAGGTGGTGGTATGAGTGGAATCGTAACGTTATTCAAATGATGAATATCTTTCAGCGGGCATGGTTGGTTAAGAAATTTTTTTTGTGCAGTTGACGCATGCGTTGTAGTCTGAAAGCCCCCTTTTCACTCGATTGTCAATGATTTTGGGATTGAGAGAATACAATTCCGGAACAATCAAGTATCCCAGTTATGTTCTTGTCAGAAGCCATTTCAAAAAAGATCAATTCATTTTTAATATACATTTTTGAGTCCGGCCTTTCAGTGATGCCTAAAAAGCCGACATGGAAAGCCAAGAAAGCGAAGGTGAAAAATCCTAACCATAGAAATAACAAGCAGTTGCCATGCAAAATATGCCCACATTTTGCAAGAGATGGATAGAGAACAAGCTAAAACAAAAACGTGATTTTTCGTACAATCGGGGGCCATAATCCCGTAAGTTACAGTCTGATATGCACAAATATTGACAGGAACCAAGATCTTTAAGAGATTAACCTATATTGCAAGTTTCGTCAAAATCAGATAAAAATTGCGATCTGTAGAGTGTCCACAAACAAACATGGACCGCGACAATATACATCCACATGAAAATGTGGACATACAAAAATTACTACGGTTTAGTCTCAAAATGATCGAAGTACTGGATGTACAAGACATTAAGCCCTGTCACATACCATTAAACATCATTACTTTCGTTCAGATCACATTAAATCCTGCATGTAAACACTGCAATATTCCAACTATCATTCATTTGTTCCCACAGCTCATTAATCATAAATTTCTTGCCCCAGATAATATATTTTATTACTCCGGATTTTTGTCTGCTTCAGAAACAACGAGAGACGAATGAAAATATAGAAGACTCGGTTGAGGAAGAAGAAGACTCAAAATGGAGTATTTTACGCGATGATTTTATGATGGGAGCTACGATGAAAGATTGGGATAAAGAGGGGAGTGATGGGGAGGAAGTACCCGATGATTGACAGGCATCCATATTGATGTTATTATTATGTATATATGTATTAATAAATGTGTACATAGTCTTTTTCAAATCATTGTTAAATTCTTTTTCAACTCATCAATGAATACTAAAGTGATATATTATGGATTGGATGTGAGCCCATCCTTGGTATCCCCAGTAGTCTTATTCCATTCAACTCCACTAACCCCTGAGTTCATCCATGGGGAAGACACATACTCAAATTATCTGCCCTTGATGTTTGTGCTGTTATTATCGATAAATCAAAAAAATCGTTAAATACATAAGAATTGACATTGGCAGCATAATAAAGATCCCTGAGAAAGTTCATGAAGATTTTCTGGCATTGTTTCTTCTGGCAGTGGTGCAGTACGGAGAACCAAGTCATTTCAATAGGATGAAAAACAGGGGTCCCATGTTCACAATGGTTGGCGTGCATGTAAAAGAACCCTTTAAAATTCGAAATAAGAATACTCTTTAGCATGAAATTTTCCTCATAGTATCATGCATGGGTTCCATGTCGGCCGTATATGCCGGTCGGGACTGAGGGCTATGGAATATGACCAAAACTGGATCTATCCCATTGGTCATTTTGCACGCCGGATAATTAGAGTATTTTTGAAAACCCATACTATGAAGTATTACACTACACCCCATTTCAATTCCAAGGGATATTATCTTAATTAACGGAGGTTGGTTGGGGGATAGATTCAACATTTTATTATTCACTGATTATTTCATTAATGACAACAAATACATGGACATCTGTCATACACTTTGTTTACAATATTTAAATGATGTATTGAACCAAACTTGATTCGTTAATTTCTTACTTTACTGTCAATATTTAGATAGATAACAATCGTTGATAACTTTATGTGGGATAAACAAAAAAAATACGTTAAGATTCCAGGCTAGATCACCCTGAGCACATAGCTGCTTCTACAGACTCTAGAGTGATTTCCTCTTGGTGAATAGATAGCTACCTTTTTTCCAACAAACCAGCGGCTGCCAGGCAGGATACACCCACATTTTCGAGAAATGGATAGAAAACAAGCTAAAACGAAAGTGATTTTTCCTACAATCAAGGGTCATAATTCAGGAAATTACAATTCTATATGCGCAAATATCGAAAGGAACCAAGATCTTTGAGTTATAAACTTACATTTCAAGTTTCAACAAAATCGGATAAAAATTGTGACCTCTATAGGGTCCACAACCTTGATATACCATATTTTTATGCAATTTGAGAACGAGGGGCGGCCATTTTGTCTGTCAGTTTTGGGCCGATTTTCACGAGATTTGAACTCAGCCGTCCTTAGGGTGTAACGGTGATATAATAATACGTTTTTTTAAATCGGATAAAAATTATGACCTCTATAGGGTCCACAAGCCAAAAAACACGTGTTTACGTACAATCAGGGGCCATAATTCAGGAAGTTACGGTCCGATATGCGCGAATATCGAAAGGAACCGAGATCTTTGGGTTATAAACTTACATTTCAAGTTTCAACAAAATCGGATAAAAATTGTGACCTCTACAGTGTTCACAAGCCAAAAACGTGATTTTTCGTACAATCAGGGGCCATAATCCATGAAGTTACATTCCGATAGTTGCCAATATCGAAAGGAACCGAGATCTAGGGTGATAAACCTATATTTCAAGTTTCATTGAAATCGGATAAAAATTGGGACCTGTAGACTGTTCACAAACAATTGTGGACGGACGGACTGACAGGGGCGACGACGACAATATACGTCCACATGAAAATGTGGGCGTATAAAAACTAAATGTTGAATAAAATATAACTTGAATTTTCAACCAATAGCTAGCAGTCAAGGTTCATAATTATTAGCCAGCACCAATTTAAGCACAATACATTAAGTCTTAACAATTAGAATTCACTTGGTACTCCCCAAATAATTTTGCCAGTTTTGCCAAGTGCTCAACATTTGCTTTGACATATTTTGTTAACATGTCATCAATATCCCCATATTTATTTTGCTTTAATGGTGTATTCTTCGAACTTCTTATTTTATGGTATGTAGATTTATTGACAGGGTCGTTCTCCAACTTGTCAGTTTCACTTCTATTCTGACGGAAGCAAGAAATCTGCTTTAAGGTTACCCAAACTCTTATTTACTGCAAGTGCAGTACAGTTAAAAATACAGTATGCAAGAGCTAAATCTACCTATTGTAGGTCTTTCTTTAGGCCTGAATTAATATAAATTATTAATTGGACATTAATTAACATGACGAGACCATAATAACTCTTGTTGCGATCAAATATCTCTGATATTAAGTAGATTTGAACAGTTCAGTCATATTTTAATTTAATTTCAAAATGGAGAATGAGACGGTGGTTACTATTATTACACACGTCTTGTCAAACCTTCAAAGGCTAATATGTTCGCTCGCAATAGAGTAATTTGAATGAAATTTTCAACATATTCATTTTGCATTATCTATTTTCGAACTATTATAGCAAGAATGGCTAGCTCTTTATCTAAATCTTACATAATGTATCTTTAATGTAAGTGGTCAACAGAGTTTAAGTCAAGCGGATTTCTAAAGCTCTCCACAGGTCGGTATACACCACAATTTCTTATATCATCAATATCCATTTCATCAATTCTTATCTTCTTGACCATATTCCAAGACCATGATCCAAATCTTCAGACTTCATCTCCCGTGAAATTTACTTTCATCAAAAAGGATTTGTATCCTCTCTGAATCGAGCCTTATCTTTACATCCCTGTACATCTTATGTCCATCACGGCAGAAGTCGGTTATAATCAGCCAATAATTGTGATTTTCTCACGGATTCCCATGTCCGTGCAGCATAATGAAACCTTGAACAAATAAAATACAAATAATATCACAGCAAAAGGGCACAGAAATAGTTTGGCCCTCTGTTGATAACCGCCGGGAATTACCATTCACTTTGTCATAGTTAGGTTGCTTAGGTGTAAATTTGTTCCCATTTAGACAAAAGCATGAAAACCTTCATATAAGTAGTTTTGGATGTTCATTTTCAAATAAGAGTGGGGCCACGTACATGATCTGAGCTTTTTTTCAGCAGCCATTTTGGATTAAAAAATGGCCACCTCTGAAATATGTGATTTTGACCAAATCAGCTTCACAGTACAACATGTATAACCTCAATTTGCTGAACATTTTTTTTTTGGGGTACGAAAAATCTACTTAAACCCGTTAAAATGTTTCAGAAGTGCAGATTTATAAATCGCACTACAATTGCACACTCTGAGTCATAAACTGGTTTCTGCCAAGAAGACACAAAATAAAGAAACTAATAAACTCAGGAATGAGGAAATACACAACTAGAGTGGATATAAATTGTTCGCTGTAATAAACATAATAATTTTATTGATTTAATACATACCAGTTTTTCTCAGATAAATTAGCATGAGTCAGTGGTGTTCTGGGTATAGAAAATAACTGATTCCGTAAACATTTTATTAAAGAGTTAAAACTTGGGTAGCCTCGATATTCTGGAAGGAAACTTAGAATCGAATCTGAAATAAAAACTGGAGCTCTATATTTCACCAAATTTACAATTTTATTAAAGCCTTTGTGCATCAATGAATGATAATCTCTGACTTAGAGAGAGAGAAATGGAGTTTAACTTTAAGGTCCACTCGACACAAACTAGGTCATTTTGGGACTAACATTTATTTCAATAATTCGCTTGTGCGTAGGGGTCTTTAGCAGTGGGAGGAAACCAGAGGACCCGGAGAAAACCCATGAGGTTGGACAGGTGACACTACTCCTTGTCACATACAACCCGGGAATTGAAACCATGCCAGCTGACTCAATGACAAACCTTATGATACAACGCGCTAACCATTCGGCCATCCAAGCCCCCAGATTAAAAGGACGTCCATCAAAAAAGCGCATAGTTTGGATGTTCAACAACCAAAAACATTTTCAAAATATGGACAAATATTGGAATGAAAGTAATTTAATACAATTCTTCGGGTATACCTTCTTCAGATCTTTGCATTCAGTACAAAAGGTAGTTAGTTACTCAAAAGATCCAATGGGTCAAGTATTTTTTTACTCTCTTGTTGCCAGATAGCCATCAGTGTTAGCAAAGAATTTTGGGCACGAAAGGAAAGAATTTTGGGCAAAAAAGGAATATATATATATATATCTTGAAACAAACCTTGTTCATTTTTATAATATTCCATGGTAGGTAGAATAAACAGATTAAAATCAGTTTCTACTGTTCTGTTATTGATTCCAGGTAACAACCCACCTGTAGCTAGTGATACACAACCTATAATATACAAGATACACAACCTATAACATACAAGATACACAACCTATAATATACACGATACACTCCCCATAATATACAAGATACACTTCCTATAATATACAATATAAGATACACTCCCTATAATATACAATATAAGATACACAACCCATAATATACAAGATACACTCCCTATCATATACAATACAAGATACACAACCTATAATATAAAATACAAGATACACATCATATAATATACAAGAGAGAGAGAAATGGGGTTTAACATCCACTTGACACAAACTAGGTTATTTCGGGATTAACATATGGTTTAATTTTATTTCAATAATTTGCTTGCGCCTAGGGGTCTTTAGCAGTGGGAGGAAACCAGAGGACCCGGAGAAAACCCACGAGGTTGGACAGGCGACCCTACTCCTTGTCACGTACAACCGGGGAATCGAAACCACACCAGTTGACTCAATGACAGACTTTATGGTGCAGCGCGCACGTGCTAACCATTCAGCCATCCAACCCCCCATAATATGCAAGATACACTCACTATAAACAAGACACACTCCAATAATATACAATACCAGAGACACATCATATAATATACAATACCACAAATCTAAGTATAAGGATAAATTGAATATTGTATTTTTTAGGTCCATTGAAATGCTGTCTGCACAAAAAGGGTCTTTTGCACTTTTTTGCAATATATGCATCCCTTCAGAGTCAGTCATGAAAGAGATATCAACTTACCTTGTGATTTCAATCGAGAATTTTCAAATACTCGTAATAACGTCTGTTGCATGGCTTTATATGATTCTAAACCAAAATCTTCTACACTGCCCTTATTCTGTACAAAAACTGAAATCAACCAACATACGCCTGATAAATTTACTGTACGGTAACTATTAACAGACACACAGAGAGAAACAGGATTTAAAGCCTAGCTTCTGGTCCAGCACATACAAATTCTAAGCGTTTCTTGCTGCCGGTCTGGGGGGAAATTCAATACCTCTTGACAACACACAAGGTTAGGCAACTCCTTGTCATGTAAAAATATGAGTACGAAACCATGACATTTGAATTATGATAGATTTGAAAACTAGGTAACACTTCAGAAAACTTGGTCACCCACACCTGACTCAGTGACTGCGTCTACGACTGATTATAAAAGTTTATTGAAAGTAAATTTGACCATACCGACATTAGGATAATAATCAGGTGTATCATCCTGACTCGAACCACCATCATGACTAGAAGATGGCGTCGGAGGTTTCAACATCTCCGCATTCTGTAAAAACCTGCAATAAAACATGTTTGTACTCAGCATTTGGAACAATAATTCGTCCTTGATAATTGGAGCCATGGTGGCTAATTGGGTAAGACGCTGTCCTTACCGAGTTCTGCATGATAATTGTACTCTGCTGTACTAAGACATTAGAAGCCACATTGGCTCATTGAATAAGGTGCTCGCTCATTAACCAAAAAGTAACTGGGTTTGATATGGATGGTGGTTGAGACTGAGAAGTATCTCCAGATTTTCTGGCCAAATTTCCCCTCATCAGTTGCCTGGTCTCCTCTTGTCAGTTACCTAGTCTTCCCTTGTCAGTTGCCTGGTTTCCCGTCATCAGTTGCCTGGTCTCCCCTCATCAGTTGCCTGGTCTTCCATTGTCAAATGCCTGGCAAGGGATAGCATCTAGTTGTCCAGATGGGACAAAAGTGTAAGCTGCCATCATCCCATAAAAGAACCCTTGGCTGTTAGAATTCCAAGAAGATTGGATGGAAATGCAACTGTCTGGGGTTAATTCCTACCTGCCCATCTTTATTTTATTTTGTTTATTAAAGATACATTATGGGAGATAAGATAAAGAGATGGCAGTTCTCGCTATAATAGTTAAAAACTAGATAGTGTAAAGGTAATTTGATGAAAATTTCAGTCAAATTGATCCACTATGAGCCGAGAAAGAAGTGGGTGAAATTTTTGCATAGTCTCGGTCATCATTACTAAAATCATTAATATAAACAGCATAGTCTCGATTATCCACTTTTATTGATTTAATTATCACTGGCCGTTAGCGGCATATAGGAATCTAATCCAGCCAACATCGAAGGCTAGCCTTGACATCGAGAGTTTATTATGGTCTGGATAAGTTAATTAATGTCTAATTGATAATTTAGATAACACTTCAGGCCTAAAGAAAGACTTATAATAAGCAGATTTTGCTCTTGCATAATGCATGTTTAAGCCACTATCTTTGTGTTTAGGTGAAATTAACTATATGTATCATGTGCAATCTTCAGGTGGATTATTTTGGGGTTTTTCCACCTATTTTTGATTTGTAGCAAATTTGTCAAATTGGTGTCATGTTCCATTTTATAAAGTTGGTGCTTCAGCAAATCTTTGAATCATAAGTTTCTATGACTACTGATGTCATAAATAACACAGAGGTTATCCAGTCCAGTTTACTTACCTTAGGAAATTAACATCAGTAAACCAGTCTTGTACGACCAAGACTACATTACAAACAGTAAATAGAAATGTTGCTATCTGTAATGACTGCAAACATAAATGTAAAATACTTCAATTCTAAAATAGTTAATCAGACGAAAATCTAAAACCGATAAGGCCATATAAAAAAATTATCCTTTTTCTCAAAAACTGCTGTGTCGCTTGCTTTATTTCAAAAAATAAAAACTAAACCTCCTTGATTTCCACTGTTCTTGACGTACCATTATTGAAAGTTTCCGGTTGAATTTGGAGATGAATTTATATAAGCTCCCAGCTTGTTTTTAAATCCAGTATTGTATTTTGTCATGTCGTAATCGAAATAAAATATTGTTTAATCCAAACAGAGCAAGTCACATATTGTTTAACATCCACTCGACACAAACTAGGTCATTTTGTGGCTAACACATGGTTCAATTTTATTTCAATAATTCACAGTGATAGGAAACCAGAGGACCTGGAGATAACCCACGAGGTTGGAAGGCAACCCTATTCCTTGTCACATACAACCCGGGGAATCGGAAACCACGCCAGTTGACTCAATGACAGACCTTATGATACAGCACACACGTGCTAACCATTCAGCTATCCAACCTCCCATTAACGAATAGAAACAATGGTAACCATTCCTGAGCTATTTACTATACCTATATAACTTACCTGCATTTCGATACAATATTCTGCCGAACTATATTCCGTTGGATATTTTTTATCATGTCGTATCAGATTGTCCAGTAATGATGCACTCATTACAGGCTGCAAACAAAATAACATGTGAAACATGAAATGCAATTTTCAAAAGATAGGTTGCCAGGCACTATAACCACTCCCATGATAACTAAATCTTCCAAGACAATAAAATCTGATTTAGAGTCACAATCCATGAGGTAATTATCAGAAATAATTAAAATTTGACTTAGAGTCACAATCCATGAGATAATTATCAGAAATAATTAAAATTTGATTTAGCTTCCAGTTCTTGATTGAGATAAGATTTATTATACAGAACATGTGCTAATAATCAGATAATAATTTAAACTGAGTCATTGATAGACATTTTTCACTCATCAACATTAACAATGCGTATAAATTTAAAGTCAATTAGATATTAGAGTGTCTATGAGATTTTAAAATTGATCAAGGACAATAACTCTGACATAAATTATTGGAAATCAACAGGCTTCTTCATGAGAGAATATTACCTGTGCATCTAATAATATAATTCTCTCCGACGACACAAACATATCTATACCATTTGTTTGATGGCTTCCTTCTTCTTTTGTTTCTTTAGTTTGGGGTTGAAATATATAATTTCTATAAAATATAAATATATGATTTCTATAAAACATAAATATATAATATCTATAAACATAAAGTATAATTTCTGTAAAATAAAAATGTATAATTTCTTTAAACATAAAGTATAATTTTTTAAAAATATAAATAATAATAATCTATTTATAAAGTGCTGAATAAATATAAATATATAATTTCTATAAAACATAAATATATTATTTCTATAAAATGTAAATATATTATTTCTATGAAACATAAATACATTATTTCTATAAAACATAAATATATAATTTCTATAAATCATAAATATATTATTTCTATAAAACATAAATGTATAATTTCTATAAAAACATAAATACATTATTTCTATAAAATATATATTATTTCTATAAAATATAAATAGATAATTTCTACAAAAACAAAAATATTACAATTCATCATATACGGACACTGTGAGAGTGTTGTCTGCTAAAACAAATAATGGACTTTATGAGATTTTGCCTGAACAGCAACATTTCAGCATAATTGTCTGTGAATTCAATTTGTCAAGGGTTCTTTTCCGTGCACGCCAATGGGTTCACAAGTGGACCTTGTTTTTTTTTTATCTCATCTGCATCTCGCAAAACTGACGAGGAAACACAAGGTCAGTGAGCCAGTGACATATTCACAAAGTCACTAGTTTCATGCAAATAAATTGTGACAGTCTGAGAATGTCTTGTGAACAGGCTAGCAAGCCAGTTACATACTCACCAATTAGTTTCATGCAATTAAATTCTGACAGGTTCTATTTATGTTATTACATACCTGTATGTATCCTGAGGGGAGTTACCACCTAATAAAGATAATATCGTGGACTTTCCACTACCTTGTAGACCAATAGCACCAATAACTAAATAATCTGTCTGGTCCAACAACATCTAAAATATACAACAAAACATATAACAATTGTAACAAGGCAACTGTGAGCCTCATATCCTAAAATAAATTAATTACTTTTTATAAAGCTCTGAGCAATCGATAAAGTTCCATATCACTCTGCTTATCCTGAGCTGATGAATGAACCCTGATCTTACTCAAATCAAATTGCTTAGGTATCTCTGCTTAGCCTAGGCAGAAAATGCTCGACATTGTCAAGATATGTACCTCTTGACTTCCTCATTCTACCTAAAGTAGAAGCAAAGTTATTGTGTTCTAAAAGGTGTGACTGACAGACTATTTCAAAAGTCCCCTACTTTATATGAATATTATATGAACATTCTAAATTGGTCTGCGCCCAAGCACACAAAGCACTCACAGACTTGAGTTAAGAACTTACTCAACTTTCAATCACTGTTTATGCACAATAAATTTGATCCAGAAACACAAAACTTTGCACATAGTTTCTTATTGATGTATTTGATACATTAAAACAACAAAAGTTTTATAAAGGGCTATATTTTAGTTAAAATAAGGCGAACAATTTTGAGTAAATTCTTAACTTAAGTCTGAGAATGGGACAGGTTATATAACGTGCTTTATTCAATAAACAAATACAAATACCTCCATAGCATTATCACACCAGCGTAATGTCTCATCTACTAATTTTATACTGTGTTTCATTTCTGGTGGAGCTACTAGACGATTCTGTGATGACGCTGAAAATATAAACAATACCAAATAGATTTCTAAAGCTGCTGAAAGTTGAATCCCCAAAAGGAGGGAGAAATATAGGGTTTAACGCCCAATTGACACAAACTACGTCATTTTGGCAATAACATATGGTCCAAGTTGTGATTTCAATAATTTGTTGGAGCATAGGGGACTTTAGCAGTGTGAGGTAACCCGAGGATCCGGATCAGAAAAGCCACCAGGTTGGACAGGCTACCGTACTCCTTGGCATGCGTGCAAGCCGTGCATGCTCCTATGTCCCAGTGACAAGGTATTTTCTCAGCCAAAAACTGAGTCGACCTTTGGATCTCCTGGTTATTGGGCCACTGTGACTCTCACACCCATTTCATCACACAAATTAGCAGTGAATATTTGCTAGGTCGCGACAATCACTGATAAGGATGACATCGATGCGACTTAATGAGCCACAAATATTAACTTTTTTCCTCAGACAAATTAAATTCTAAAACACTTTTACTTTTTTATGTGTTAGAAAAATAAATAAAGATGTTTGAAGTATTAGTAGGTAAAAATTATTTCCTATTTTAGTGTAAGTGGGTATTAAAATGAGTAAAAGCGCCATTCTGCTCGAATCAGTAACCTCTTATGTAAACAATGCACACGCCATTGAGCCAATGATTGACGCCACGTGTTGAAGGCGGTCATCTATTACAGAGATATTAGAATTAATACCCTGTGAAACAGATTGCGATTTCATACTGGACTAGTTATATTATCATAATCAATAATTTTGTAACCTTCAAATACTAGGTGTCCAACTGATGGTTGTCTAGTTATGTGTGGTGGGGTATTTATCTCCCCTGTTGACAATGTATTTGACGACTGATTGGTAGATGGCACTGGTCTGTTGTCATCTCGAGAGCGTAGTACTACGATGGGTTTATCTGGTAATTTACTAGCAATTCCTGAACCGGCTGATGGACTGGAGTTATTACTTGATGCACCCTTCAATAGAGAGAGATAGAAACAGTGTTTAACATCCACTCGACAATAACTAGTTAATTTCAGGATTAAACATAGATTATACAAGAGCTAAATCTGCCAACTGCAGGTCTTTCTTTAGGCCTGAAATATTATCTAAATTATTAATTAGACATTAATTAACTTATCCAGATCATAATCGACTCTCGATGGCATCGCTAGCCTGCGATATTTACTGGATTATGATCCCATTTGCTGCTCGACTTCCATTCATAATTTAATCATGAAATTGATGATCGAGACTATGTTTTTTTATCGTACAGACTTTAGTAATGATAATCTAGGCTAGGTCAAAATTTCAGTCGCTTAATTCTCGGTTCATAGTGGATCAATTTGACTGAAATTTTCAACAAATTGCCTTTACATTATCTAGTTTTTAACCATTTTAGTTAGAACAGGCACCTCTTAATCTCATCTACCATAATGCATCTTTAATTTCAGGATTAATATTCATTGTATGGTACAATTTTATATCCATATATGCTGATGCAATAGGAGTCTTTAGCATTAGGAGGAAGCATGTACAAGTACAGGATCAAAACCACACCACATGACTTCAATAGAGAGAGGTAGACTTGGGTTTTAACATACACTTAACAAAACTAGGTTATTATCAATACGGGACTAACACATGGTTTATTGTTATTTCATTACATTGACAACAGCATTTGCACAATATCTTGTTGAATCGATGTATCTCTATTCATCCTTCTGCAATACATTGATATGGTTAAAGCCTTCTTCATATGGAGAATGGTCTTTTTCTTATCAAGCTCCAAAGCTGCGGAATAAACTGACACTTGTTATTACAGAGAGAAAGAGAAATGGGGTTTAACGTCCACTTGACACAAACTAGGTCATTTCAGGACTAACATGGTTTAATTTTATTTCAATAATTTGCTTGCGTGTAGGGGTTTTTGGCAGTGGGAGGAAACCAGAGGACCTGGAGAAAACCCACAAGGTTGGACAGGCGATCCTACTCCTTGTTGCGTAAAACCGGGGATTCGAAACTATGCCAGTTGACTCAATGACAGACCTTATGATACAGCACACGCACGTGCTAACCATTCGGCCATCCAACCTCCCCACTTGTTATTAGAAGCTGTCCCTCAAATCACGACATTTAACACATCATATTGATTATAAATTATTCTATAAATTTAATTGATTATGAATTATTCTAATTCTATGGATTCGACAGGTTTTTAATACTCACCGGATCTTGTGATGGTTTAGCCAGACCCAGGATAATCGGTGGTTTACTGGATGTTGGTGACGGATCATGTTCTCTAGAATCACGTTCCTGAAATATTATAATAATATGTTAAATTCTTATTGCATGTTGCCCAGCTGTTCTTATAAAGGAGGAGGGTTGAATGGTCAAATGGTTAGCGTGTGTGCATTGTATCATAAGGTCAGTTGTGGATTTTCCCATTGCTAAACATCCTACGCACTAGCAAATTATTGCGATAAAATTGAACCATATGTTAGTCCCAAAATGACCTAGTTTGTGTTGAGTGGAAGTTAAACCCCATTTTTCTCTCTCTCCCTATAAAGGACAATTTCTATTTTATAAAATCAGTCAACCAGTATTTGGTAAAACTATAGATTATCTGATTATTGCTTTGCCTACCCCAGATAGATTCTAGTTTTTTTTAAGGATTCCAATTTTTTTCCTTAGTTATCTGGTTCCTAACTTTCATTACATCTTCATATCTCGACTTAGCAGTAGGGGACATATTTTTAACAGCATGTTGTCTTGCACATACTGACTCTAGTGAGGTAAGCAAGGTTTTATTTTCTCACTAAAATGTTCCTTTACAATGTACAGGCGATCACAGGGCTGACACAGTGACACGCAACGGTTTATATAGCAGTAAAATTTACTGGAGAGTAAAAATTTCCACAAGGCGCCGATAGGCCAGTTCCTGAGCTTATAGGGCCTACAGGAGTACAGGTCGAGTGTAATGAAATTTACGTCAGAGCTGAACTAGGCTAATCAAATAGAGATGTTTTTTCTTAATTAAACTCATTCGGCGTTCTCATCGTTTTACCTTTCTAATTGGTTTATTATCTCGTCTGCGTCTTCTTCTTCCACTTCTATCTCTGTCTAACGGGTCGGACATACTCACACACAGATAATTTATCTATTGCTTTCCTATTCAAAAATTTTCTCTGTAAATTAGGAAATAATGTTTCTGGAAATACTTTCGTTTTATTTTTTGATTTTCCTAGCTTTAATAATTTAAGAGCTAAAAGTAAGGGAGGTAATTTACCAGTGATTTGTTTGGATGCAGACCACCATTTATCCCCCATACTGACTTCACTGTTAAAGTAGCTAAGTCTCTAACTCCATATCATCCAAAATCTTCAACATTCAAAACGCGATTTATTTGCCAATTTAAAGGACCTAAGTCCGTAACTCAAAATCCTCCAAAATCTTCGACATCGAAAAAACGAATTATTGGTCAAATTAAATCAACATTGATGATGTAAACTTACCGGGAAAAGATGAGCTTCTGATATCCGATATTTAAGATAAAATAATTTTTTTAACATTGGTACACGAATCGTGTACCATAATGCGCTTCAGCCCCAGTTGTATTGAGAGACTCGAGGGACAAGGCTAGACACATTGCACCAAATCAAATGGAGTTATGTAGACTAGAATAACTAGACGCTAGAAAATTTGCACTCGATTGAGATTGCTGACTTATTTCGCCGAACATAACTGATTTGAAATTGGAGTAAAAACGAAAACCATTAAATGTAAATCAGTTTATATACATTCATATTACAGTATTATATGCGTTGCGACCAACTTTTGTGAATTTCTAGGTCCCAAATGTTAGCGATTTAGCTCCTTTAAATCAACATAGATGTTGTGATCTTACCGGAAAAATATGGGCTTCTGATATCCAATATTTAAAACAAAATAAACATCTAACCATAATGCATTTCAGCGCCATTTGTAACAAGGGACTTGAAAAATGAGGCTAAGCATATTCAACAAGTCATGTCAAACGGTGACGCCATATTCTTATCTGGAGTGCATGCGCAATAACTGCTATTGGTTTAGACTGGAATAACCAGACGCTAGAGATTGCCATTCGATTGAGACTTCTGGCATATTTCGCCGAACATAACTGATTAGAAATCACAGTAAAAACATTCATATTACATTATTATATGAGTTGCGACCCATTTGTGTCCATTGCTAGATCCCAAATATTAACTCAGCCTTTTTGTCCAGCTCCAACCGTTTCGTTGGGCTAAATGCTCTCCACCACAGACCTTGCCTTGCTCGACCATTGAAATTGTGTAGTAGAAGATACCAGTGGACCTACTAACAATCCATGCTACATGTGACCTCCAAAAGAAAGAAGTCTTACACGTAACAAAGAATAAAATAAATTTCTCGGATCCTCATTTGCGGGATTTTTATTCCCTTGAAAACAAAAACACTGTGAAAGTTGAATCTCTAAATAATGGTTTCAATTCCATTCAGTTTTTGCAAAAATAAAATGAATTGAAAATTTTCAACTCTGCATCCTGTGCAGATGGTATCGAATACAGTCATCACAAGTCAGTGCCAACTACGATTTTCACTGATGAGCCACTTTTTAATCCTATTCAATACAACCTGGGAGATTATCAAAGTTGATATTTTTTTTTTGTTTTCTTAATTATTTAATAATGAAGAACCACTTTGCGTTTGTACTGTTTATTCTGTCTTTGATTTGATGTGTGGTTATCACTATCAAGAAGCAGGGTTGGGGTGGTCGAGTGACCACTGCAACAGACACCTAAACACAAGCGAATTATTGAAATAAAGTTGTACCATATATTAGTCCTGACATTACCTAGTTTGTGGTGAATTAACATTAAACACCTTTTTCTATTGAGGGTATGGATGGTCGAATGGTTAGTGTGTGCACGTTGAATCATAAAGTCTGTCATTGAGTCAATTGGCATGGTTTTGATTCCTCGGTTGTACGTGACAAGGAGTAGGGTCACCTGACCAACCTCATGGGTTTTCTCCAGGTCCTATGGTTTATTCCCACTGCTAAAGATGCCTGTGCACAAACAATTTATTGAATTAAAATTGAACCATATGTTTGTGTCGAGGGGTCTTTAAATCCCATTTCTCTCTCTCCATTTTCTATCTCTAGTAAAGACAGACCTGACAGGTTATACTTTCAAATTGATAAATCATCAAAAACATTTCAAAATGTCTGTGTATTCTACTGGCAGTTCGAGAACAAATAAGTTTCTGTTTTCATTAACAAATAAGTTTATTAATCTATATGATGTCATATACAAACAATATACATATATACTAAAAACCATTCCACTAATTCTATAGCACCTATAACAAATGCATAGATAATACAGATCATTGATAAGAGTTTTGTATATGAAATCATGTACCTCCCAAGATTCTGATTGACATTTTGAAAACTCGTATATTTTCCTTTCTAAATTTCTTCAAGAATGTCATTTATTAGCATAATTCTGTGCAAAATAAAGAATTCTTATGATAGTCAGCAGTAGGGCCAAAAATTATATGTGTGGTTCAAAAATTTGGTGATGTATTAGTATTTATACTGGCAAACTCACAGTCACCACACCCCTGATTAATAATGTGCCACAAATCACACAAAAAATGAAAGTAGAAACCTCATAATGGATGTACATATATAAGTTCAATCTTATACTAAATGAAATTAAAGGAAGTCGAACCTCAAGGGATGTACAAGCTTACAAAATAAAATAAAATTATACATAATTGCATAGAATCCATCATATTTCAGAATAAATTATTCTTTATTTACATAACTCCAGCACTACAATATATGTTCAGCCGATTTAAACTGTATTACTTTACAGGAAGTAAATAAATAAAATAAATGCTCCCAGTACACACAACAAAATAATGGTGATGATACAACAAAATGATTGTTAGTTTTTTTAATGGCTTAGCCTGATTTTGTTGTGACTTCGTCTGGTTTTGTTGTAAATTAACTTTGGCAAAGTGTAGCTTGATGTTGTCGTAACTTAGCCAGATTATGTTGTAACTTTGCCTGATTTTGTTGTAATTTCAGAGGAATTTGTCTTGATATCGACATGTTGTAAAAGAAATCTTCCCAGTAAACATGTCAAAATAATACTGATGATGCAACAAAATTATCAGCACTTGGACCAATTTTGTAATAACTTAGCCCGATTTTGTTGTGACTTCCCCTAAGTTTGTTGTGTTTTTGCCTGATTTTGTAATGATATCAACTTTTATAAAGTAAATAAATAAAACTTTGTTATCAATAAAGGCTTTCACTAAATTCCTGACAGAATACTGAACCTGATATCGTCTTCAAGAATTAACGATATAATGACCTAATGATATAAAAAAAATTCAGTACTAAATCACAGATTATGTTAATCGTGTCCATTTCTCACTAACTAACCAAAGTCTTCTGGCAATTTCTTCATTTTCAGCTTCAGCAGTAACATCTTTTTCTACACAATCGCTGAAATTTACAACCAGATAAATATTTCAATATTAATCTCTCATTTGAAAGATTGGGGAATATCTAAAAGGAATATCAATCCAAAAATGGTTCAATTCTGTTTAATATTAACGAAGATATGATGAACTGAAAATCTGTCATCATTTAGCACAAACAGGACATTGCTAAAATCTTTTGATGGTCGCCTTGTTAATTCAATGGAATCCAAGCTGAGAGAGAGAGAGAGAGAAATGGGGTTTAACGTCCACTCGACACAACTAGGTCATTTCGGGACTAACATATGGTTTAATTTTATTTCAATAATTCGCTTGCGCATAGGGGTCTTTAGCAGTGGGAGGAAACCGGAGGACCCGGAGAAAACCCACGAGGTTGGACAGGCGACCCTACTCCTTGTCCAAGCTGAGAGAGAGACAGAGAGTTTAACTCCACTCAACAAAAACTAGGTTTCTTGCCAGATCCTCTGTCCTGCATCATTTACAAGGGAAAACCATGCTGGAAGATCCCGATCGAACCCCAGATCGCCTCAAAAAAGAATCTAAGCTTCATACCTGAAATACTTTCCTGTGATGTCATCTATACTGGGGTCAAGGGCAACATGTATAGTTGTCTGAGCTCCCTGTTTTGGTGTTTTAAATAAAGTGTATGAAATAGGAAAAAAAAAGAATTTAGATATGGATGAATTGGCCAATGGAATATGTCGAATCAATTCGGTGTCTACTACGCCAGGATGTAATGCATTCACTGTAACGCCAGTACCTGTAAATATAAAAAATTTAAAGTTAAATATTATTTTAATATAAAATACAAAACAAAAAGTTCAATTATATTTAAAAAAAAAATATATATATTTTTACCACCAATCTAATTAAGGCCAAATTAAAAAAACAAAAACACAAAAAAAACTGGTTCTGAGATTACCATTTTCAGTAAATGAAATGAAATGAAATGGGGTTTAACGTCCTACTGTTCTGCTCCTAACCTGGGCTAATGAAGACAGGCATACGCCATACAGTGTGCTATGAGGAAAATTTTGCCCGGACAGCGGCACTACGGCCTACTCTTATATCGAATTCCAACTGCCAAGGGATCTTTTACGTGCACGCCAATGTGTACAAGGGACCTCGGTTTTTCGTCCCATCCGAACGACTAGACAGCTTTCCTTGTCAGCCCCTCCGTCCTGCATCACTGACAAGGGAGAACCACGCCGGAAAATCTGGATGAACTTTCTCGGCCAATGCAGGGATCGAACACCCGACCTCCAGGCTAGCGAGCTAGCGTCTTACCCACTTAGCCACGTGATCCCCCCATTTTCAGTAATAATTAAAGATAGATTCTCACGAAAGTATTTACCGGGGGGTTATTTCCAATAAAAGTATGGCAAAATTTGGTATAAAATATAGATGCCCAATCTTGCTGGAAAAATACTGGATTACCAAAAAAAAAACCACCCATGAGGCAAGCATTGGGCAAAAATGTCAGGGTATCTCTAACTGGCAATCCTGGGGCAGGTAACATTGACATTTGGGGTCGTGTCATACTTATGAAAAGGATATGTTGACAATTCCATGCATTACTTAAAAAATTTACGAAGCTTTTCTGGTGACCTTTAACATTAGATATTCCTTTACTGACTGGATTTTATCAATACTTGGGTTGTGTGAAGGATGATCATTCTATCTGTATTTTGTTGTACAGTCTTCCTGCATCCATATTAAAACTAACAGCAGCTAGAACAGTAGGACATTATAAACCCCATTTCATTTCTTTTATCAGAAAGGGGAGTTGGATGGCCGAATTGTTAGCACATGCGTGCTGTATCATAAGGTCTGTCATTGAGTCAATTGGCATGGTTTCCATTCCTTGGTTGTATGTGACAAGGAGTAGTCGTCGCCTGTCAAACCTTGTGGGTTTCTCCGGGTGGTTTCCTCCCACTGCTAAAGAAACCTACGCGCAAGCGAATTATTGAAATAAAATTGAACCATATGTTAGTCCCGAAATGACCTAGTTTGTGTCGAGTGGACGTTAAACCCCATTTCTCCCTCCCTCTCCTCTCATTTATCACAACTAACACTAACCTTTTAATTTTCTGGCCATTTCTTTCGTAAAGAGGATATTGGCTAATTTACTTTGTCCGTATGCTGCCCCAGCATCATACTTCTTCTCGCTGTTTAAATCATCAAAGTTAATGGTACCTCGGACGTGAGCTAAACTTGATACGTTAATTATACGAGATGGTGCAGACTCCTTCAGTTTATCTAACAATAAATTAGTCAACAAAAAATGGCCTGAAAAGAAAAATCATATAAAAATTCATTATTTAAGGGCAGCAAGACTATGTATTGTTTCCACGCCACCTACAGTGTTAAAGAATCCTACTTTTCTGCTAATGAAAATTGGCATACACCACTTCAAACTCTTATTTCGATTTGAAACCTTTTGACTAACACCAGGATTGAATCCAGGACCTCCTGGTTGTGAGCAATGCATCATATCTTTTTAAAATATGGAACGGAATTGAACTATTTCTGTACTGATATTCATTTTAAAGATTCAACATATACAATACTACAAATCCCTAATATAATGATCAGCGGCTTTTAAATAAATCTTGAAACAAAATATCTAAATGAGCTTTAAAAATGAGTTTCTTGCCGTTTCAAGTGCAATAGGTAACCTGAAGATGTATCCAATCCCACCATTCACTGGATAAGGTTGGCCTGGATGATCAATCTACAACTATTTATCTGCTATAAAATATGCTTTCGTGTCCAGCTTACTCTTCAAATTCTCACTGCTAAGTGTTCTTTTACATAAACCCCAACATGTACTCGGGGCCTCGGTTTTTAAAACATCGTAGGAAAGCTCTTTTATTCTAACATAATACTTTACCTAAATGATTCACTCCTAACTGCATTTCAAATCCATCTTCTGTCAACATTTTCGGACACCTCATGATCCCAGCATTATTGATCAAGATATCCAGATGTGCTTCTTCTAAAAATACAAAATCAGTATTCCATTATCTGCCTGCATTAAATAGTGAGCCAAATATCAGACCCTCTAATATTCCCATCAGTTGTGTGTAAAATCTAACACCTTTGAGCTATAGCCACGCAGAATCCATAAAGAGCTATAGTCAGTCATTAATTCCTTTAACTCTATTTGCTTCTTTGAGCTACATGTAGAGCTAGTCAGTCATTAATCCTTTTCAGCTACAGTTCGTCATTATCTTCTTTGAGGTATAATCAGTCAGTTATTAACTCCCCTCAGATACAGTCAGTCATTAACTCTTCTTGGGTATAGTATACTGCAGTCAGTCATTAAATCCTTTAAGCTACAGTCAGACTTTTTGCGCAATTTATATTCAGAATTTGATATCTAAAAAGATAAATAAAACTCTTGACAAACCTTTGTTGATTTTTTCTGCAAATTCTCTGATCGATTTCATCGACGCCAAATCCAGTTTTCTACAATGAATGTTCCTATTGGCCGATTCATTAATGATCTCATCGCGGGCCTTTTCACATCGACCCATATCACGACATGCTAATATTAACTTAGCACCTATAAAAAAAGTAACTTTTGTTAAAAGAATCTAAAAACAGCGAAGCTGATATCAATTGATTTAAGTCCAAATAAATACAAGGCACTCGATCATAAATTACTAGTACATTTCAGGCCTTGTTGGGTACAATTCCTTGCATGCCTGTCATATGTTGGGAACAAAATTTTTTTGGGGGGTTTTCTGTGTGTTTATTGGTATCTTTAATACAAGACAACAAGAACGGCACAAAGTTCAACATGTTAGCTACTATTTTGTTTTTGTCTGATATTTTGTCTGGTATGACTAAAACCATTATTTCCAGGTCCACATTTATCTTTTTATAAAGTATCAGCCATTAGAATTGTTTATCACTCTGCTTAACCTGAGCAGAAAATGCTCATTCTCAAACTTAGTGAAGAGATCGATGTAATTATATAAATTAATGAAACTATACATTATGTTTCATCCATCTCGCTCAATAAGAATCAAAGCTTTTTATCCTTTGCCTAAGCAGATAATGTAGATAAATTAATAAATTCTGATAACTGATTAATTTCAGTTAATTTTTAGTCATACACATGGCTTTTTTTTACAAATAAATTTGGCCTGAAGGTAACACCATCAAAAGGTGTTGAAAACCCATTGAAAACCCTTTAAAATACTGTACAATTATCTAAATCTCTGTGGAACTTTTTCATAGAAATACAAAGTTTCAGTCTTGATATGTGTTCCATGTTACCCCCAAATGAAACAGGGTTTAACATCCACTCAACACAAAACCGGTCATTTTGAGACTAATAATTTGCTTGTGGGTAGGCATCTTTAGTAAAAGGAAATTTAAGGACCCATAGTAAACCCATGAAGTTAGGCAGGCGGCCCGCTCACTGTAGTCAATGAGAGAAATGAAATGAAATGGGGTTTAAATAAAGTCCTACTGTTCGTCGGTAGGCAGACGAAGTGACTTATAGTCAATAGGTTATGAGAGAAATTTTGCCCGGGCAGCGGCGATACAGCCTACTCTTATATCGAATTCCAACTGCCAAGTCAATGAGAGACCTTATCATATTTAAAGCACATGCATTAGACCATTTGGTCAACCAACCACCTATAGTTTTATGTATATCCCATCATTATTGTACTCTAATAGTCTGGGTATTCATTATGAATGGATTCTATATTTTACCTCGTTTAGCAAGTTCCAAGGCCGTTTCTTTTCCAATACCTGTATTAGCACCTGTAACTATAACAGTTTTACCTGGAATTCTTTCTTTACCTCTATATTTACCACCAGACATATAATCTCTGAAATCGAAATAAATTAAATGAGGTCTAACGTCCTACTTTTCTGCACCAACCGGGGTAATGAAGACAGGCAATTGCTACAAGTAGTGTTGTGTATTACTTACACGTCTTGTCTACGATATCACCTCGGTGGAAGTGGACATAAAATAAAGCTATTTTTACACACACTTGCACCCCAAAGTGTACACAGGACCTCGACTGTTTGCCCCATCCGAATGACTAGACACTGTTTGGGGGGAGTAAGTAATTGCTACAAGTAGTGCCGGGTATAATGATGTGAACCAGCTGTAACTGCTACAAGTAGTGCTGGGTAGAATGACGTAAACCAGCTGTAATTGCTACAAGTAGTGCCGGGTATAATGTTGTGAACCAGCTGTAACTGCTACAAGTAGTGCCGGGTATAATGATGTGAACCAGCTGTAATTGCTACAAGTAGTGCCAGGTATAATGATGTGAACCAGCTGTAATTGCTACAAGTAGTGCCAGGTATAATGATGAATGACGTAAACCAGCTGTAATTGCTACAACAAGTAGTGCCGGGTATAATGATGAATGACGTAAACCAGCTGTAATTGCTACTACAAGTAGTGCCGGGTATAATGATGAATGACGTAAACCAGCTGTAATTGCTACAAGTAGTGCCGGGTATAATGATGAATAACGTAAACCAGCTGTAATTGCTACAAGTAGTGCCAGGTATAACCATGTAAACCAGCTGTAATTGCTATAAGTAGTGCCAGGTAGAATGATGTAAACCAGCTGTAATTGCTACAAGTAGTGCCAGGTAGAATGATGTGAACCAGCTGTAACTGCTACAAGTAGTGCCAGGTAGAATGACGTAAACCAGCTGTAATTGCTATAATTAGTGCCGTGCTAACAACAATAAATGTGTTAAAAACTTACTTGACAGTAAATATTGACAACGCACCAATTGCTGTGAGACTCAGATAATACGGATACGTTGGTATTTGAGCCATGGTGTTGAACAGGTACCATACAACCACCAAAACTGTAACAAAAAAACAAAAAAATGTCATTATTTACCATCAATACATGTACGTCAGTCCATGACAGCAGTTGCACCACCATCAATATATGTACACAGCTCCCTGGGACAGTTGCCCTGGCGGCAAAATTACTTAGTTTGATTAATTACACCAAAACAAGTGAAAACATTTTATTTTATACCTTCGTTGTGCCACTATCAATAAAGGTATGCGGGTCCATGGGGGCAGTTGCCCTGACCGCAAAATTCTTAGATAGGATCCATTTACATACACCTATAATTATGACATTGCTTGCTGTAATTGAAGTGACTGAGTTACTTGATGAAAGAAATGCAGAAATGATATCGGTAACATCCTACTTTTCTGCTAATGAAAATGGGAATTCACTACACCTTTTATTTCGATTTGAAACCTTGAATAACACGAGGATCGAATCCAGTACCGGTACTTCCTGGTAGTGAGCAATTATTTTTTTTTAAAATACAGAACAGAACAGAACTATTTCTGGACTGATATCCCTTCACGATACTGCAGTTTCCATGGGAGAGATGTCTAGTCCTTCGGATGATACGAAAAACCGAGGTCCCGTGTATATATTGGAATGCATGTAAAAGATCCCCTGGCAGTTGGAATTCGATATAAGAGTAGGCGATAGTGCCGCTGCCCGGGCAAATTTCCCTCATAGCACACTGTATGGCGTATGCCCGTCTTCATTAGCCCAGTATAGGAGCAGAACAGTAGGACATTAAACCCCATTTCATTTCATTTCATTTCCATGGGAGAGAGAAAAAAAATGGCGTTTAACGTCCACTCAACACAAACTAGGTCATTTTGGGACTAACATGGCATAATTTTATTTCAATAACTTGTTTCCGCATTGGGATCTTTAACAGTGGCAAGAAAGCAAACAACCCCACCCCTCGTCACATCCTGGTGTAGAATCAAATCAATGCCACTTGACCTAATGACAGACCTTATGATTTAAATCCATGCCACTTGACTCAGTGCTTGGCAATTTTATGGGCAGTTAAATAAGCCAGATTATATGAAATAAATCACATTTATTTTATAAAGTGATCATTCCCCTTTAATCAGATTTATTTTATTGTTTATAAAGTGATAATGCCTCTTTCATCAATATTTGGACTTTGATAAATAGGTCATGTGGATTACAATGTCAGCTTGGAGACTAAATAATTCTGAAGGATAAAAGTCACATAACAATCTAAAAGTATACTCTTATTTCTTTTAACTGCAGTCCCTACTCTATTACCAGGCAGAGAGAGAGAGAGAGAGAGAGAGAGAGAGGGAGGGGGGGGCAGAGAAGGGCAATGGCAAAGAGCATCTCCATTGTTAAGTTTGTTTTACAATTTACAAAGCTGTCTGATTTCAATTAAAAGTTTATTTCATCTGCTTTGAAATACAGGTACTTAAGACGTCTTCCATTCTCTATTTTCTTAGAACTAAGTCCTGTACTAGAGTCTTGTAGGCATGCAGTCACCCCACTGGCTGGAAGGCCCTACTTCTGTTTTCATATTTTCATACTCATGTATAGGCCTAAACATGTACACACATAGCTGTGAATAAAGTATTATTACTGGTATTTCATTAGTATATTATTATTAATATTAATAACCAACTTACAGATTATAAAGAAAAGTGTTTGTGTCCCACTGAGTGTCATGGCAAGCATCTTGTCCCAGTAACTGCCCTCTGATTAAGACTGTTATAACCCTGTACAGCTGTGATATGGTTAAAGCTATTTATAGCCTAGATTTCAATTAAAGTAACTATAGCCATAGCCCAGCATTGAATACCAATAATAATGTATATATATGATTTAGCTACGAGAATGTAGCTAAAAACGTTGAGATATACTGATGTGTTTGTTTTTAGCTACGATTGGATGCCTTTAGTTCCAAGTGGCAAACTCAATTTCTTTATTAATGCATGTAACATCTTTAAAATAAGATAAGTTTTTGCTATTTTGATTAAGTAATCTTACAGAGGCCAATGTAGTGGCACAACTGTCGCCTAACTCCAAATATTCGCGTTTAAATTAATGAAGCGTTGTTTTTCTTTGACATTTACCGCCATCGAAATCCATTCATAGTTACAGAGCTTTAGATTGCCCTATTGATTGGCTGTTATAAAAATCTTATATTTAGCCCCGCCTTCATGATGACAGCGTATCGTTTAAAAAGATGGCGGTCTTAGTAACGGCTTAACGCCTCGATTTTAAAAACGACGATTTGTACCCGTTTCAGGTAGGATTATATGCTTAATTGTAGTTGGGTCTGGCAGAAATATTATAAATAACAATAATCAATCGTTGTTTTTATTAAAAATATTGTCAATTTTGTTTACAAATGCCGGGTGCGAATCGCTCCCGCATATGCTACGTTGTAGGTAATGGCCTCATGTCTTATCTCAAAACACGGAGGGTTGAGAGATTAAGGTTTGTTATCTAATATATGATTATGAACTGAATATGAAATGAATTAACGCCCTACTGTTCTGCTCAAAGTGGGCTAATGAAGACTGCCATATGCCATACACTATACAGTGTGCTATGAGGGATATTTTGATATAGTTAGTAGTGCTATGGTCTACTCGTATATCAAATTCCAACTGCCAAGGGATCTTTTACATGCACACACGACCTCCTTTATCAGTTCCATTCGAGCGATTATCCCTTGCCAGTCCTGAACTGAATTTCAAACCCTGTTGGCTGTTGTTATGAATATATGGCTCATGTAATTTGCAGATCTTTTAATTATTAATTATGAATGAAATGCAATGAATTATCATACATCATGACACTAATCTCAAATTAAATCAATTTAACTGTCAATTCCATAACTAATTTGCAAGATGGACATATTATGCACGATGGACATTTCATACTTACTTTAATTATGTGATATTCAATTTAGTAATTATTTTATTTTCTATTATCTGAGGGGGCACGAAAACCGTGCACATTTGAGACCTTGAAGCTGAAGTTCAACGACACTCGGCAAACCTCAACAGATTCCAGCACCCTACAAGGGTTTGCCCACACTGATCCGCAGTGAATATTTGCTTGGCCGCGACAATCACTGATAAGGATGACATTGATGTTTCTTAATGAGCTAGAAATATTAACTTTTTTCCTGCGACAAATTAAATTCTAAAACATTTTTTGTATATATTGGAAAAATAAATAAAGGCGTTTGACGTATTTGTAGTTAAAAATTATTTCCGATTTAGTGTAAATGGGTATTAAAATGACTAAAATGCAGCATTCTCTCCGAAGCAGTTATGTCTTATGTAAACAATGCACGCGCCATTCAGCCAATGATTCACACCGCGTGCTGTGACAGCACGTGTTAAGGCAGTCATCTATGACAGAAATATTATACGAAACTCGTAATTCTCTGTGAAACAGATTGGGGTTTGCCGAGTGGTTCAACGAATTAATACTTTCGTTTTATTTTTTGGATTTTACTAACTTTAATAATAAAGAGCTATAAATAAGGGAGGTAATTTTCCAGTGATTTGTTTGGATGCAGACCACCATTTATCTCCCATATTGACTTCACTATTAACTCAAGTCTTTTTGTCCAGCTCCAACCGTTTCATTGGGCTGAACGCTCTCCACCACAGACCAAGCGACATCTGGCCTTCCTTGCTCAAAAAGCTCAACCATTGAAATTGTAGGCCTACTAACAATCTATGCTACATGTGACCTCCAAGTCTTAATTACACGTAACCAAGAATAAAATAAATTTCTCGGATCCTCATTTGAGGGATTTTTATTCCCTTGAAAAAAAAAACACTGTGAAAGTTGAATCTCTAAATAATGGTTTCAATTCCATTCAGTTTTTGCAATAATAAAATGAATTGAAATTTTGAAACACTCTGCATCCTGTGCAGATGGTATCGGATACAGTCATCACAAGTCAGTGCCAACTATGATTTTCACTGATGAGCCACTTTTTAATCCTATTCAATACAACCTGGGAGATTATCCAAGTTGATATTTTTATTTTGTTTTCTTAATTTAATAATAAAAAATCACTTTGCATCTGTACTGTTTATTCTGTCTTTGATTTCTATCAAGGGGTTGGGGAGGGGGGGGGGGAAGTTGGATGGCCGAATGGTTAGCGTGTGCGTGTTGAATCATAAGGTCTGTCATTGAGTCAACTGGCATGGTTTCGATTCACCGGTTGTACGTGACAAGGAGAAGGGTCTCCTGTCCAACCTCGTGGGTTTTCTCCGGGTTCCTATGGTTTATTCCCAATGCTAAAGACCCCTGTGCGCAAACAATTTATTGAATTAAAATTGAACCATATGTTAGTCCCGAAATGACCTAGTTTGTGTCGAGAGGAAGTTAAACCCCATTTCTCTCTCTTTCTCTCCATTTTCTATCTCTAGTAAAGACAGACCTGACAGGATATACTTTCAAATTGATAAATCATCAAAAAGATTTCAAAATGTCTGTGTATTTCTATTGGCAGTTTGAGTACAAATAAATTTCTGTATTCATTAACAAACAAGTTTATTAATCTATATGATGTCATATACAAACAATATACATATATACTAAAAACCATTCGACTAATTCTATAGCACCTATAACAAATGCATAGATAACACAGATCATTGATAAGAGTTTTGTATATGAAATCATGTACCTCCCAAGATTCTGATTGACATTTTGAAAACTTGTATATTTTCCTTTCTAAATTTCTTCAAGAATGTCATTTATTAGCATAATTCTGTGCAAAATATAAAATTCTTATGATAGTCAGCAGTAGGGCCAAAAATTATATGTGTGGTCCAAAAATTAGGTGATGTATTAGTATTTATACTGGCAAACTCACAGTCACCACACCCCTGATTAATAATGTGCCACAAATCACACAAAAAATGAAAGTAGAAACCTCATAATGGATGTACATATATAAGTTCAATCTTATACTAAATGAAATTAAAGGAAGTCGAACCTCAAGGGATGTACAAGCTTACAAAATAAAATAAAATTATACATAATTGCATAGAATCCATCATATTTCAGAATAAATTATTCTTTATTTAAATAACTCCAGCACTACAATATATGTTCAGCCGATTTAAACTGTATTACTTTACAGGATGTAAATAAATAAAATAAATGCTCCCAGTACACACAACAAAATAATGGTGATGATACAACAAAATGATTGTTAGTTTTTTTAATGGCTTAGCCTGATTTTGTTGTGACTTCGTCTGGTTTTGTTGTAAATTAACTTGGCAAAGTGTAGCTTGATGTTGTCGTAACTTAGCCAGATAATGTTCTAACTTTGCCTGATTTTGTTGTAATTTCAGAGGAATTTGTCTTGATATCGACATGTTGTAAAAGAAATCTGCCCAGTAAACATGTCAAAATAATATTGATGATGCAACAAAATTGTCAGCACTTGGACCAATTTTGTAATAACTAAGCCTGATTTTGTTGTAACTTCTCCTGAGTTTGTTGTGTTTTTGCCTGATTTTGTAATAATATCAACTTATATAAAGTAAATAAATAAATCTTTGTTATAAATAAAGGCTCCCACTAAATTCCTGACAGAATACTGAACCTGATGTCGTCTTCAAGAAAATAACTGACAAAGAATTAACGATATAATGACCTAATGACATAAAAAAATTTCAGTACTGAATCACCGATTATGTTAATCGCGTCCATTTCTCACTAACTAACCAAAGTCTTCTGGCAATTTCTTCATTTTCAGCTTCAGCAGTAACATCTTTTTCTACACAATCACTGAAATTTACAACCAGATAAATATTTCAAAATTAATCTCTATTTGAAAGATTGGGGAATATCTAAAAGGAATATCAATCCAAAAATGGTTCAATTCTGTTCAATATTAACGAAGATATGATAAATTGAAAATTTGACCACATTTGGCATCGACTTCAAAATATACAGGACATTGGTAAAATCTTTTAAACATGCATTATGCAAGAGCAAAATCTGCTTATTACAAGTCTTTCTTTAGGCCTGAAATGTTATCTAAATTATCAATTAGACATTAATTAACTTATCCAGACCATAATAAACTCTCGAAGTCAAGGCTAGCCTTCGATGTTGGCTGGATTAGATTCCTATATGCCGCTAACGGCTATTGATAATTAAATCAGAAAAAGTGGATAATCGAGACTATGCTGTTTATATTAATGATTTTAGTAATGATGACCGAGACTATGCAAAAATTTCACCCGCTTCTTTCTCGGCTCATAGTGGATCAATTTGACTGAAAATTAAAGCAAATTACCTTTACACTGTCACTATCTAGTTTTTAACTATTATAGCGAGAACTGCCATCTCTTTATCTTATCTCCCATAATGTATCTTTAATGGTCGATATTTTAATTCTACAAGCCAGGAGATTATCTATCATTGATATTCTGGTTTTGGTTTTCTTAATTAAACGTTAAATATTTAAATATTCAATTTGAGATCGAGTGTGGATTAAGCCATGAAAATTTAAAAAAAAAAAACCCAGCGGCTGCCAGGCTGGATACGCCCACATTTTTGAGAAATGGATAGAGAACAAGCTAAAAAGAAAGTGATTTTTCCTACAATCAAGGGCCATAATTCAGGAAATTACAATTCGATATGTGCAAATATCGACAGGAACCGAGATCTTTGGGTTATAAACTTACATTTCAAGTTTCAACAAAATCGGATAAAAATTGTGACCTCTATAGAGTCCACATCCTTGATATACCATATTTTTACGCTATTTGGGAACGAACAGCGGCCATTTTGTCTGTCAATTTTGGGCCGATTTACACAAAATTCGAACTCAGCCATCCTTAGGGTGTAATGATGATATAATAATACGTTTTTTTAAATCAGATAAAAATTATGACCTCTATAGGATCCACAAGCTAAAAACATGATTTTCCATACAAACAGGGGCCATAATCCATGAAGTATCGATCCGATACATGCCAATATCGAAAGGAACCGAGATCTTTTGGAGATAAACCTATATTTCAATTTTCGTCAAAATCGGATAAGAATTGTGACCTGTAGACTGTCCACCAACAAATTGTGGATGGATGGACGTCCGGTCGGACAGGGGCAACGACAATATACGTCCACATGAAAATATGGGCGTATAAAAATGAAATGGACTTAACGTCCTACTTTTCTGCACCAACGGGGCTAATAAAGATGGGCTATTAGGAAAATTTTGTTTGGTCAACGGCGCTACAGTCAAATTCCAACTGTCACCTCAAAAAAGAATTTAAGCTTCATACCTGAAATATTTTCCTGTAATGTCATCTATACTGGGGTCAAGGGCAACATGTATAGTTGTTTGAGCTCCCAGTTTTGGTGTTTTAAATAAAGTGTATGAAATAGGAAAAAAGATGAATTTAGATATGGATGAATTGGCCAATGGAATATGGCGCATCAATTCGGTGTCTACTACGCCAGGATGTAATGCATTCACTGTAACGCCAGTACCTGTAAATATAAAAAATTTAAAGTTGAATATTATTTTAAAATAAAATACAAAACAAAAAGTTCAATTATATTTTTTAAAAAAATATATATTCTTACCACCAATCTAATTAAGGCCATTTTCAGTAATAATTAAAGATAGATTCTCACGAAAGTATTTATCGGGTGGTTATTTCCAATAAAAGTATGGCAAAATTTGGTATAGAATATAGATGCCCAATCTTGCTGGAAAAATACTGGATTACCAAAAAAAAACCCCCACCCATGAGGCAAGCACTGGGCAACCCTGTGGCAGACTGGCAGGTAACATTGACATTCGGGATTGTGTTATACTTATGAAAAGGATATTTTGACAATTCCATGCATTACTTAAAAAATTTACGAAGCTTTTCCGTTGACCATTAACATTAGATATTCCTTTACTGACGAGATTTTGTCAATACTTGGGTCGTGTGAAGGATGATCATTCTATCTGTATTTTGTTGTACAGTCTTCCTGCATCCATATTAAAACTAACAGCAGCTAGAACAGTAGGACATTATAAACCCCATTTCATTTCA